TGGCCTGGGTCACACAGCATCATCCCACCACCACTCATTTACCGATGGCTTCAAAATATCTTGACATCCAGGCTGGTTTCAAGTCTATTTCAAAGTGCTTCATTTAATGCAATCAAATAAAACAGCTATGGCCAGCCTTTGAGAGACTCACAACCTATGAGTATATATGGGATATTTATTTGGAAATGTTACAGACCAGCTAGAACCCTTTAAAAGGGTGTTTATATCCTAGGCTCTGCACTGTGAAACACAGGGAAGGCAATACCACCTCCTCGCCCAGGAAAACCGGCACATGGTGAATGGCACAAACTCCTTTTTTGACCAGGTCAGTATGATAAGATTGACCATTTTGATAAGAGGCTGATACAACAACGGGTTTGTAAGTATAAGATGTGACATAGCTTCCTTCTGTGCTCATGTCTCCCCTTGAGTTGGTACAATAGTATACAAATCCATATAATAGTGTAAAGATGTATTTTATATATAGCAGATTGCTAACCCAACACAAGCCAACCAAAATACCATACAGTAGGAAAGACTCTGATCTGGCAGAAACCTCAGGTGACTGTGACTTATGAACATAGCTCATATGAGGCTAGGAAGACACAGTCTGGCCGTGTTAAGCAATCTTGCATAATGATATTTATTGCATAACCTCTATGCAAAGGATATTTTGACTGCACAGTGTTTGTCTGTCCCTTGCACACTGTATCACATTGTACCTTGAGAGAGAGCTTGCAACATTGCCATTTAAAAATAATTAGTTACAGCTACAATTCCAGAACCTCCCAACTTGTTAGTTCTGTGGTTAACACTGGTAAAGTGTTTCCTGTTTTTGATGAGTAATGGAAATGTGCCTCTAGTTAACTTTCTTTAAAATCCAACTGGTCCAAGCCTGAGGTACAAAACACAGGCTCCTCTTATCTAGCTTGCTGTGACCTCAACACCCACAACAAGGTATAAGGTAGCAACTTGAAATGGAATATGCTTGAACCATGCAACCCTCTTGCATGAGTTAGTGACTATAACATCTTAATAATCTAATAATCATTTTAGAACTGCAGATTAAAAAGTAGCAGTTCCACTGCAAAAGGTGTGAATTTATGCCTCCTTCGGTTAAAACTCCAATGCTATACAATTATGCCTTCACTATAGATAAGCTGAGCTAAATAAAATAGTAGAATCATGTAATAATGGAGTTCGAAGGGGCCTATAAGGCCATCAAGTCCAGCCCCCTATTCAATGCAGAAATACAAATCAGAGCAGATTTGATAGATGGTTGTCCAATTTTCACCTGAATGCCTTCAGCGTTAGACTGCTCACCAAGGTCATTGGTTCCACTGTCGTACTACTCTAACAGTTAAGAAGTTTTTCCTGATATTCAACTGAAATCTGGCTTTCTGTAGCCTGAGTCCATGATTACATGTCCGGCACTCTGGGACGCTCAAGAACTGATCCTGCCCCTTGTCTGGATGACTATCTTTCAAGTATGTGAAAAGTGCTATCCGATCTCTCCTTAGTCGTCTTTTCTCCAGCTTAAACATGCCCAATTCATTCTGTCTTTCCTCCAAGGGCTTGGTCTCCAGTCCGCTGAGCATCCTTGTTGCCCTCCTCTGAATTTGCTCCAGATCCTTCTTAAAAAGAATTCATTATCTGTAACTAGTAATTTACACCTAACATGCCTTGAGAATCATTCTTGCACGCCTTGTTATCGTCGCCCTCCCTCCTGTGCAAGATACACTGACAAAAATCACACTCACTTCACCTTGACATGGGTGTCTGTATTGAAAACACCCAGTGGCCCACATGCTCTTTTAGCAATTTGCCAGCAATTCTCATAGATGATTATCTTCTTGTAGCAGCACCTGCTCCCTTCCAGTCCTCCAAGCAGGAGGCTGCTGGGCAAAAGGATCAAGGGGGAAAAACGATTGTTATCAAGCTAGCAGAAGAGGTTTCACCCATAGGAAGGCTATGCAAATTATCCTGCTGTAAAAGCAAAATTCAGCAACGTTTGACATAGACTCTTGCTTTACCCATCACACCATTTGCTCAAACTCTGATTTCGGTTAACCTTCATAAACCTAGAGCAACGTTTGACATAGACTCTTGCTTTACTCATCACACCATTTGCTCAAACTCTGTGATTTCTGTTAACCTAGTTAGTTAGTTAGTTAGTTAGTTAGTTAGTTAGTTAGTTAGTTAGTTAGTTATTAAATTTATACCCCACCCATCTAGACATATGTCTGCTCTTTCGGATCACATGGATGATGGAACACCTCTCTCCTGGTCTGAGAAGGATTCTAACGGAACCTGTACAAATCAGAGTTTTCCATAACGTAGAAGAAAATGGTGTTGGCTTTGCAGTCAGAAATACTCTGCTGAGATCCATTGTTCCACCTACTGTGGGGAGTGAAAGAATCCTGTCTCCGCAGCTCCACTCATCAGTGGGACTAGTCACCCTCATTAGTGCATATGCATCAACACTGTTGTCCACAACAGAAGTGAAAGACAAATTCTATGACGATCTGGCAGCTACTATGAAAAAAGTCCCTGAGAGAGAGCAACTGTTCATTCTTGGAGACTTTAATGCTAGAGTTGGTGCTGATCACAATTCTTGCCCCACTTGTCTAGGCCATTTTGGCGTTAGAAAGATGAATGAAAATGGCCAATGCTTGCTGGGGTTTTGCTGTTATTATGGTTTTTGTGTCAGCAACACTTTCTTTAACACAAAGCTTCAACACAGAGTTTCCTGGAGACTTCTAAGATCGAAGCATTGGCATCAGCTCGATTTGATCATCACTTAGCCTTCCTAGTACAGTATTATGGTCACACGCAGTTACCAGAGTGCTGATTGCGATACTGATCACTCCCTGGTGTGTAGTAGAGTAAAACTGCGAGCAAAGAGATTGTCTCACACACACAAAAAAAGGAAGGAAGACCACATATTGACATAGCAACATGTGCACAATCAGAGAAAAGTGGAGGAATTTGCCCAAGCACTTGAGGAAACTCTTCCAGGCCCAGCTGATGCAAATGCACCTGAATGATGGGAACATTTCAAGAACGCTGTTTATAACACCACCTTGTCCACATTTGGCAAGAAGAACAAAAAGACTGGTTCGAAGCCCATTTGGAGGAGTTGATGCCAGCCATCAAGGATAAGAGGAGAGTTCTAGCAGCATACAAAGCCTGTCCTAGTGAACTTGCAGGCTTTTTGACTTGCTTGTAGCAAAGTGCAACAGGCTGCCAGGAGATGTTCTAACGATTATTGGCTTCAGCTCTGCTCTCAGATACAGGTAGCAGCAGACAAAGGTAACATCAAGGGAATGTATGACAGTATCAAGCAGGCTTTAGGTCCAATACAGAAGACATCTGCTCCCTTGAAGTCTGCTATAGGCGTGATCATCCAGGACCGAGCACAGCAGATGGAACGCTGGGTGCAGCGCTACTCTGATCTATATTCCAGAGAGAATGTAGTAACCGAAGAAGCACTAAATAATATTGAGTGCCTGCCTGTCTTGGAAGAGTTGGACAGCGAACCAACTGTAGCAGAAATAAAAGTGGCCTTGGATTCCCTCGCTGCAATATAAGGATATCTGCAAGCGGGATCTGAAGGCCTTAGGAACAGATCTCAACAGATGGGAAACCTTGACCTCTGAGCGTTCAGCCTGGAGG